TTATACTAACCTAATGTACCGAATGTTCGTATCTAAATATATTGTAATGAATTAATGGCATATAAGAAAATGTGCAAAAACATGTGTACCGAAAATCTTTACAAAAATATTTTCTTATATAAGATACTTACCATAATGAGAATTAAAATTTATAATATTTTCATAAAATTATTAACATAATAAAAAGAGAAACATTTAATATATTGACATTAAATAGAGTCTAGGACTAAAATCAATTTTTAATCTTGTATAAGATATTTTTCTAAACTTCATTTTACTTAAGGATTAAAATCTAGTTTTCTATATTTTAAACCTATCTATAATATCATACATGTTATACGACAACGTAACAGTTACGCACAACTTCCAAAATTTACTGATATGGGATGTTTAGTCATTGAGGCACACCGTAACACATTAATATCATACTCTTCTATTATAGCTGGCAAGAGCTGGCTCCTTTTAGGCTCAACCCCTTTCACCTTTCCCTTCCATCTCTCTCTCTCTCTCTGGGTCTCAGTACTTGCCTGGATTGTGGGGTTAAGAAATCAGAAACCTCTGCTGGAATTTGGATCAGGGTTTTTGAGGAAGCACAAGTAGAAGAAGGAAGAGGCAGAGGTGGGTGGAAAATGAGTGCCTCCAGGTTCATAAAGTGTGTCACGGTTGGGGATGGAGCTGTGGGAAAAACCTGTATGCTCATCTCCTACACCAGCAACACTTTTCCTACGGTAAAGTTCTCTTGTTTTCTTCCTTTTCTGTTTGGTTGCTGAGAAAGTGAAGGAAAAGATGTGAAAAGTTTGAGTCTTTGATGTTTGTCTTTAGATGGGTTTGCTTAGCTGAGACTTGTAGGGTTTTCTGGTTGCTCAATTTGGGTATGCTGCAAGTTTCTTGCTTTTTGTTTGGTTTCCAAGAAAATGTGGGAGAAAGAAAGAAAAACTTGTTTTGTGTATTGTGTTTCATCATTTGGGTTTTCAGACAATCAGGAAATGAGAAGAAACTTGATTCACTTGATTTGATTGGGGTTAGTCGGTGTATTGTGAATAATTCATGCTAAATTCAACTTTCGATTTTAACACGAACAATTTACGGCTTTTAATTTAGTAGACTATTCTTTTCAACAATTTTCAACTTACCCTTTATTTGGTATGCAATGGTTAATGAAGAAATCAGAATTTCCATCAAGTTTGAGCCTTGTGCTTAAATTGAGATTTGCGGTGCAGAATTTTGTAAGAGGGTTTTCTTGGTTTTGTTCAGTTAAGTCTGACCCTTTCTATGATTTGCCATTCCTGATGAACCTGTGTTAAATTGTATCTCGCAACTAAGCCGAGTATTTGAGTTGAATATTGAGCTCCGAAAATGTTCATGTCTACAGATTTCTCTTTTTATGTTTTGTTTCATGTTCTTTCTGCAGCTCGGCTTACAGAATTCACTTATTGATCATAAATGTATGCCTGTTTAATAGAATATAGGATTGATTGCTTGGTGTAAAAATGTAACTTCGTAGAATTTCCTCATCACAATTTTGCATTTGCATCAATATGATTAAAGATTTCAAAATTTTGTTTTCATATGTTTATCCATGTATTACTGTATGAGATTGACTTTTCGAGAGATTGATTATGATTTGCTGTCTTTGATTACAATGTACTGGGGAGCAGGATTATGTGCCAACTGTGTTTGACAATTTCAGTGCAAATGTTGTTGTGGATGGGAGCACCGTCAATTTGGGGTTGTGGGACACTGCTGGTAAGTTCAAAACATAACAATATTCCTTCCTCATTGTTTCATCTTCTTCTAAAGCTTGGATCTAATTTTTTAATTTATGAAACAGGGCAGGAAGATTACAATAGATTAAGACCACTGAGCTATCGTGGGGCAGATGTCTTCCTACTTGCGTTCTCTCTCATAAGCAAGGCCAGCTATGAAAATGTTGCCAAGAAAGTAAGACTCTCATTTTCCGAGTTACCCTCCCTCCTTTCTTCTGCTATTGTTTGATGTCTAAGTTTGCTGATGAAGCTTTTATCTTTTCCTGTTTCAATGTTTAGTGGGTTCCCGAATTGAGGCATTATGCACCTAGTGTTCCAATTATTCTTGTTGGAACTAAGCTCGGTTAGACCTCTACCCCCTTGCTCTCCTTTGTTTCCTACTATGTATTTGTTAGTCGTGATTACTAGCACTTTCAATTTTAATTGCTCTATTATCTTATAGTTTTCTCCCTCTAGGTTTATAGCTTTTCCTGCTTATGATTACCTAATAGTTCTTGGTTGGATCCAGTAGAGTATCATTGCATATTTCAAGATCGAAAGGGATAGTCAAGTGCATCTTTGTTGTTGACTGTTTCTGTTTTTTGTTACACTGTCCAGGTTGCTTTCTTGTGCAGTCTAAACTTACCTTTTAGCTTTTTTAAGAATGTCAATAAATTCTTAATGGTAAAACCTTAGTAAAGGTTACAAGTTTAATTTTGAAGAACTCTTGTGACAGCTCTGTTTCTTTGTAACAAAACTAAATTGTTTATCAGGATATGTTCTTTGTAACCCTTTCAAATCAGCATCTATATATGTACATAAGTTGGATTTTACATGTGCATTTGGAAATGAAAAGATCTGTCTGATATTGGTATACTTAGTCTGGATCACCTCATCAGATCATGTCTTAGTTATGTTGCAGTAGTGATCTCATGTACTCTAATTCACATCATGTTATATTGCAGTAGCTTACTGGATCGACTTTTTATCTTTCCCCGTCATTCGTCCTTTGCTTTTCATGACTGCTAAATTTTCTTCTTGTAGATCTTCGGGATGATAGGCAGTTCTTTGTAGATCACCCTGGTGCAGTGCCAATTACCACAGCACAGGTACTTTCTAGTGGAACGAGTTTATAATCACAATATTTGTCACCTAACTATTTATCTTGTTATCAATCTGTTTTAACTAACTCAGACCAACTAATAGAATAAAGACCTGATTTTTCTACAATTCTGTTCTTCTCTTTTGGGTTCTTTTTGAAGGGAGAAGAACTAAAGAAGCTGATTGGGGCTCCAGTTTACATAGAATGCAGTTCAAAAACGCAGCAGGTTTGTAACTTTAATGCAAATCACGTGGACTGGCAGGGAAAGTATGACTTAGTCTTACACTGACATTGTTTGCGTTAAATGCGCCTTTGTGAGTGCAGAATGTGAAAGCAGTCTTCGATGCAGCCATTAAAGTGGTTCTCCAGCCACCGAAGCAGAAGAAGAAAAAGAAGAGAAAGGCACAGAAGGCCTGCTCCATATTGTGATTGTGGAAAGCATAATGTTGGGAAGAAAGTGCGGGGGAAGAAAGTGTGACTAATTAGTCATTTATCCATTTATCTCTCTCTGTCCTGTGTTATCTTTTTCCGTCTGGAGGAACCCCAGGGCTGGGAATTGTAGTTTCGACTGACAGATGTAGGAGCTCTCTTTACGTACGCATCCAAGTTATTTGTTTATGCTGTCTCAGCAGGGTTCTGATTTGTACATTAATGATTTGCATTACGTGTTTGGTAACATGCAGAAACCTCTTCTCAATGGGTTTGATTTCCTAATGTGTTGTCTCTATATACTACTCCTGTCATCTGATTTAGTACATTTCAAGCCTATATGTATTATATGAATCATGATATTTTTTCTTCTTTCAGTCTTGAATGTAAGATAGTGTGACTCTATTGTCAGGATTTCTCTCTCTCTCTCTCTATATATATATATATATGTATGTGTGTGTATAATGTATCTATGTGTCCATGTATGCTACATAAAAAGAGAAGTGACTTTGACACACTATTTTTAGCTTCTCGCGCACTTCTTTATTTCCAACCATTGGATTGAACAAATCAAACGAAATCAAGGGTCAGACTCAGAGTTAAGCAGGAGTGTGTCAGAGGCTAACCGTATTGCCAATTGTTCGGCCTCTCACAATTTCCACTACAAATGTATGCGCCTAAATTGACACGCGAATGGTTGCACATAATTGATGAATAACCAAGAACGAAAAAGGCAAAAAAAGAACGCAGAAAGAATCAAGAAGAAAAGGGGGAGGGGGATGTCATATCAAGGTCTTTATGTTAAAATTGTGCTTGTATTTCGTTTTGGAAGATTTTCCAAATCTTTTAATTCATACACCCATCAACTTCAACATTGTCCCACATTCTCAAGACGTGAACTGTTTGAGGCTAAAGCACGAATATCTTTTAATTCTTTTGGGTGGTAGGAAGCAGTAGCACCCACTCTCTACTCTCTTGCAATTGGAGTCCCTCGGTTGCCAATTCCCATGGCATCTAATTTCCATGGAAAATATTTTATCCAAAATTAAACAAATAATCAGGCCTTTCGGTGAAAATGACGTATGCTTATCCACACTCATTTTTACTTCTTACACAACCCTCTCAATTTTCGGCCGTTGAATCGATTAAATTAAAGATCAATGATAAAAAGTTAACAAGAGTGTGTGAGGTAAAAATGAGTGTGTGAATAACACTATCCTTTAGAATCCATCACCTTTTAGCCTTATTGCCAAAATCGTCACCTTCACTACTTGTTTTGCTCTTTTACGACATACGGAGAAGTTTTTTAGTATATTGTTTATATGAAAGAATTGATATATGAGGAAACGATATAATTGATGTATCTTGGATCCAAGATAGACTATAACATATGAAAAAATTGATATTATGTAACGGTGTGATAATCACGTTAAAAAGTTGTTCCAATTTCTGCATAACAAGTAGAGTAATCGAGTTTGCAACTAAATGCATTTCACAAAATGTAAAGAGTTGTGTAAACAGAATAATGACTAGAGATTTGTGACAGCAAATACAGGAATATTATCTTTGAATTTTTTGTATGTTTTTGACTCTCTTGATTCTATTTTTTATTATTTTATCATTTTTTTTTTGGAAGCGCCTCTCCTGATTCTTTTGCTTTGCAAGTTGCAACTTTTATTTCTAGAACTGATTCTGTTCCCACTTTCAACAGCCCAGATAAGTATTCATGAACCTCTCAGCCTCCACCACCACCACTACCCCTTCCATTAAATACACGTCCACCTCCTCCTAACACTTTGCAGGCTCTGATTAATCGATTGCAGTCCTTTTTTGCAAACCATCATTCTGTTCCATTTCTTGAATACTCTAAAAAAGCTTCAGTTTTGGAAGTGGTTGAATTCAATGGCCTCAAAGAGAATATTAAAGGAGCTCAAGGACTTGCAAAGAGATCCACCAACTTCATGTAGTGCAGGTAAAAGAAAGGAAGGAATTATTTGAATTTTTCTATTTGAGCGGTATTCTAGTCTGAACTATGGGTAAGGAGTAGACACACTGTTCTAACCAACTTGCATACATCCAAGTACGAAGAAGAGAAGAAATTAGTAGTATTTGTAAATTTTATGGTGTTTTTTCTTCTTCTTTTTTTAGGTCCTGTGGCTGAGGACATGTTTCATTGGCAAGCAACAATAATTGGTCCAAATGATAGCCCCTATTCTGGGGGTGTCTTCCTTGTGACTATCAATTTTCCACCTGATTATCCTTTCAAACCTCCTAAGGTATACAACAAGAAAAATTTCACTAAACTCTGTTCTTGCACAAGTTTGTGACCTTTCGGTGAAACGTTTTCTTGCAAGACTGTCTAGCAACATAAGATGTTTAAGTTCCAAACTATATGGTAAGATGTTTATATTGTTAGATTGTGAATATGAAAGATTAATCATATTGACTCTTACTGTTTAAATGTCTTATTTGGATTTACAATATGACAACATAAGTCCGACAACAAAAAATACCCAAGACCTTAGTCTTTCTAGCATCTGATTCAGTGAGAAACATCCGCAGGTTGCCTTCAAAACCAAAGTTTTCCATCCAAATATAAACAGTAACGGCAATATTTGCTTGGACATTCTCAAGGAGCAATGGAGTCCAGCACTCACCATATCGAAGGTACGAACACATATGATTTGAGTTTTCTGTTGACTCATATCTAAGCTTACTTGGAACCTTATTTACTTGAAACAAGTTTAAAACTCTAGTCTCACGTTATTGTTTTGATTGGAATCTAATTACTAATAATTACTTGATTAATGCAGGTTTTACTGTCCATATGTTCATTGCTGACGGATCCAAACCCTGATGACCCTCTTGTACCTGAGATTGCTCATATGTGCAAGTGTGACAAAGGCAAATATGAGTCAACGGCTCGGAGTTGGACCCAGAAGTACGCCATGGATTAATTGAGACCCTAATCTTGTTTAAGCGATTTGCCTCCTCTTTTTACTGTCAATAATTATTGCTTGTCTAATAAATATTGAGGCCCCATTACGTGTAATTTGAGCTCCTTTGCTTGATACGAATAGGGTGGTGCTATCCATATACCTACTTTTACATCTCACGGACTCTTCTTAATTTTCGGCGTTGAATCGAATAAATTGAAGAAAATTAATAAACAAGATTAATAAGGATGTGTGGGAGGTAACAATGAGTGTGTGAGATAGCTGCCAACTTTTTGTATTCTGCGTCACATTCAATAAATCTGATTAATGAAATAATCAAGATAAATTCTATTAGCAACTCGTGTTTGAAAGTTATTGATGACACATGTAGAAGAAGAGCATCCATAGAAGTTTCTCTTTGTAAGTGAGAGCCTTCCTCTCCGCGAGTGAGAGTTTTTCTCCCAAAGCTCAGTTTCCAACTTTAGCCGCCGGCCTTATTTCCGTATAGGGTCGGTGGCAACCCCTTCTCCTTGTTTTCTCCTTTCTTAATTTCTTTTGGTTTTCTCCTGTTTTCCTCCCTGCTTTTCTTGTCTTTCCACCCCAATTTGCCATTGAGCTTTTCGGCCATTAGATCTGATCTTATTTTCTCCATTCAACTCATCTACATATCCCTCATCCATCCACCCAACCATCTACATGTCCCTCATCCATACCTTCATTTGCATGTCATTTTGTCTTCCATGGATTCCATCTTTGTATCGATTGGCAATCATTTTTAGTCGGGATCTGTTGTGGCCCTTCAACGAGAAGGTGCATAGAGTTCCAATGTTCACATCGACTCGGGTGGTCGCGCCACCAATGGCGGATCCAAGATTTTAACATTGGGTGGTCCCAATATAAAAGCTCCAAAACAAATTAGACGAAAACAACATTGAACAAATAAACGGCAAACTACAACTTTTCATTCATAATCTTTTGTTCAAACAAACAAGCTAGAAATACTAATTTGTCCACGACGGGCTCTTGTACTTTGAAAACGTGTCATGATAATTCATTGTCATTACAAGAAAAAACATATTTATCAATTTAAACAAGTAAGCTATCATTTAACCATTGATCTCTCATTTTGTTGCAGAGTGGACTCTTAATGATATTCATGGGGGAAAATGCTCTCTATTGAAGCAGTTGCAACTGATAACACCAAAACCAATTCAACAAGTAAATACACATATTGAAATGCTCAATGCAACCCTTTTCCCACCATTTTCTTAGCAAGATCACTAATGCTTTGCAATTGAGAAAAGTCACTTCTCAAGCTTATAGAATGAATATAAACATCGAGTTGATCTTCAAGTGCCGATAGATCTTGCTTCGTAAAATCTTGAGGATACAATTGAGCAAGGCGAAGTAGCTTTGCTTTGTCAAAAGCTACAAAAGAATCATTTGGACTCAAACTAGCCAATCATATGAGCAATTCGGTACTTGTCTCATTGAAGCGATCATTTAACTCTGTAAATTGGGAATCGATGACAACAAAAAAGAGCCCACTTTGTAATGATGACGGTTGGTCTTTTTGTGAGCATTACAGCGTGACCTCCCTTGAGCTACATATGTCTCATTCATGTTAATAACCTTAATAATGTTGGACACAAAATACTGATACTTAGTCAACCAAATGATCAAACCCCTCATCATTCCTCATGTAGAGTAGTTGTTCTTTACATGTGTTGACTAAAGTCATTACTTTCACAATCTCTTGATCATTCTTTTGTAATGTTGTGAAAAATCATTTGTGATTCTCAATATAAATTTCATCAAAAATAGGAGAAACACTATCATTGGTGTCGTCATCAACAATCATTTCAAGCACATTAACCGCGGACGAAAAAATAGAAATCAAACTAATCAAAGTACCATAATGTGAATTCCATCTTGTAGTGTGAAGTCAAGATTTATTGTTTGGCTTCCCTTGTCAAATGTTGTAAATTGTACCACACATGCTCTAGTTAGTTTTAGGGTTAAAATGCTTCTTTTGGGATCATGCTACTGGAATTATCATTTCAAAAGCTTAAGTTCTCTCATCAAAGGTTTGTTCATACATATGCATTTGATGCCATTATTTCCATTTCATTCTGTTTAGTGGTTCTGTCTAGTCAAAATTTCTCGCTACTTTCCAGTTTGCTGGACACACACATTAAGACAACCCACATGGGTCATCTAATAACTTTTTCCCGAAATTGGATTTTCAACCCTAGATCTTTCCAAATTGACACATGGTTTTTCTTGTCCCCTTCTTGTCTGAAACTCAACCTTCTTTATAAGGACCATGCTAAGGTTAATTTGGTTTTTTGGGGTTTGAGATTGGAAAAGTTTTTTAGAGCTTTATTTTCATCTCCATCTCAGAGCTCCTAGAAGCATCAAGCATATTTTATGGGTAATGTTCTTCATTGAATATTTCTATACCCATCTTTGAATTTGCTTGCTTTTAATGGTTTCAATAGAACATGAACGAACAAGATCATTTTGAATTGAAGGAGCAATTAGCTTGAGATTTCTTGGAGCGTTATCCAACACAACCACCTTTATTTTCTCATCATGATCCGCAACGAATTGCAAGAGCTCTAAATAGTTACCTTTGTTGCTTGAAGTGTCACTTTCATCATGATCACAAAATAAAAGACCTTGTCGCAACAAAAATTTAGTGCAACGATTGACATATTCAAGCAAGTGCGATAAGCCACACGAAGTTATTCTAATTGTTTGATCACAACCGTTTCAATGTCTTTTGATTCATTAGATTACCCGTAATTCAACAGCTTTATTATGAAAACTACCAACTAGTCCTACATGTTTTTCAAAACATGTTGCTGCATGCTTCCAATTTTGAAAGCCTACCTCATTAAAGACATCATTGCCTGATTGTTCAAAGTTGACTTTGAACATATATCAACAAAAGCAAAATGCGGCATCTTTAGATATACTATATTCCAACCAATGAAAGTCATTTAACCAATTGTCAACGAACCGTCACTTCTTATTCAAATGCAAAGTGAATGGAAAATCATGATCTTTAGCTCTAAAAGGCTCCATCAGTATATATGCTCTTCGAACCTTATCTTGAATATTTGGAGGATAATCCTTCATTGGAATTCTCTTTCCAGGGTCTCTCTCAAGAATCAACTTTTAACTTATTTTGTTGCGGAGTGGAATATTTGCAATTGGATTGGAACTATTTGGAATTAGAGAGGAACTATCCAGAATAGGATTGGAACTATCCAAATTTGGAAATGAACTATTTGGAATAGGATTGTCCGAACTAATCGATGATGATTTTCGCTTGTAATATCGTTCCATAGTTCTAATTTCTACACATATCAATTAATAAAAAAAAGGTCTATTTCAATTGATGAAACTAAAAAATATGTATGAACTAACATTGTACCACAATCTTCGACCAAAAAAAAACACTTGTAACACAATCCAAGTAATATCATAAAATCTGAACGAATCAACAATAAATATGTATGAACTAACACTAAGATAGATGTGAAAAAATCCTAAGAAATTAACAACAAATTAAAAATAAATAAGGCTGAACTTAGTTTAAACCTCGTTACTGTTCTAGTTAGAGAATCGCAATTTTGGTTGTACTTTTTTTAATTAAGGATGTGTAGGCTGATTTTGTCTATCATGCAAACCTCTAAATTAGAGTTTTTGAATAGTTAGTTAGTGTTTGGTTGTTCGGCTTTTTATCAAATTAAGACCTACCCATATGGGCTTTCTAATAGCTTTCTGCCAATGCACGCAAATTAAGACCTACTCACATGAGCTTCTTGACAGCTTCTACCAATAGTTAGATCTCAGCCCTTAATCTCTTCTAATCAGATTGTAGGACGACATGTGTCCTTGGTAGGTGAAAACAAACCAAAGCTTTTGGGGTTGAGATCCCCAGCTAGGGTTTTCTTTTTTTTGGAGGGGTTTTCAGATTGTATTTTCTAGAAAGAAGTTAGAGAGAGAAAGGCATTAAGAACTTACTTTCCTCTTTGTTCTTCATTAATGAAACCCTAGCTGCAAAACCTTTTTTTATGCATTAAACACTCAATCATTGAAGAATAGGGTTGCATTGTCTTTGGTTTGCATTAAATATGTGGTCAAGTGTTTCTAGTTTCAAATCTTTAAAACTGACCCACTTTAGGATTTTTGTTTGTTTCTTCCTTCAACTGTTTGACTGGAAAAACTGACTAAACATTTGAACCTAGAACTACATATCATTGTCACATCATTATATGCATAGTTCGTGAGCTGGTCTCGGTGCCACAAGGTGAAAACCTTAGAAGGAGCTGCTTCTTCGTGAAGACCTAAGGAATCCATCTTTTGTGAGGTAAGGTTGCACAAAGGTAAAGCTGCTCCATAGATAGGGTTCTAGGAATTGGGCTTTACGTGGTCCTTTGGAAGAACCTTGATTATACTAGTGGATTGGACTCAGTGGAAAGTCCTCGATTTTTTAACCCAAAGGTGGGTTTCGAGCAAAAAACATCTTGTGTTCATAGTTACTTATATTGTGTCACATCTCACATAAATCTACATGCTACATAGATCACTTGAATATTTAATAAGTATGTTCTCACAATCATGCTCATTTAACATGCTAATAACTTGGAACAAACTGAGAGCTTGCTGACTAGGATAACTATTGGTAACTGAAATTGGTCATTTAATCTTTGATTTATTGACTAACATATCTATCTTAGTCGACTAGCAGGCTTGACTAGTCAGTCCAGCAGATTATTATTTTTATATAAAGGATATTCTGCCTGGTGCCAATTTCAAGATGATGCTGCTAATTTAAGTGCTCTATCATGTGAATGTCTCTCACGTGAGTATTTTAATTTTTTTTAATGACTTGGCTCAAAACGACGTTGTTTTGGCCAAGTCATTTAAAAAAAAAAATTGGCTTTCTTCTTCCTCCAACTGTTTTGCACAACATGTAGCAGCCATGACTGCTGTTATTCTCCACAACTGCCTAGACTTGGGTGGTCCTTAGAGGTCATCACAACCATTTATCTGAGCTTTCAGGTGGTCCCTTTATAGATCCGTCCCTGCACACCACCACATTCTCTATGTCTGCCATCCGTCCCTGCACACCATCACATTCTCTATGTCTGCCTTTTTTGGCAGTGTTGCTTGTGGAAATCCCACGGGTTTATTTGGTTTCTTTTACTTGGTGGTTGCGATCTATGAGATGCTATCTGACGGAGGATGAAGTTTATTTTCTTTCCATCTCTGAGGTGCTGTTTGGCTGGGCTCCTGGCAAATGTTGGCAGTGGTGGCTTGTGCTCATTGTGTTGCTACGACGCTTTTGGCGGCGGTGGGTGGAGGAAGTTGTTAGAGTTTGTTTTTGTGTATTTATGTGTTGGGCTCAAAACATAGTTTGGGCTCTTGGGTTTTGGGCCCTTGTTCATGTAATTAAGTTGTGTTTTAGTAATAAAGTAACCTCCTTTACAATTAAAAAAAAAAAACTAATTGTGTTGAAAATCAATCAGTAAATATTTGCAATTGAAAGAACAATACGGAACGTTTTGCAAAAAAAAAAAAAAAAAAGGGATTAATTGTCCCACATTGACAATAGCCAAAGAGACCAATCTCTTTATATACATCTGATTAAATTTGAACGATACAGAGAAGATTAGCATAATCCTTGTGCAAGGATGATACGCATAAATAGAGAAATGGTCCAATTTTTATGTTTTTATTTTTGTTTTTTACTTTTTGAATCTTGCCTCAACTTTAATTTTTCTGTTTCTTTTCTAATTGTCCTACTTAAACACAATTTTTTCTAGTTAACTCTCTAAAATGGAAACTTTTATTCAAATATTATCTCATCTAACTAAACAAACAACAAAACAACAAACAAAGCCTTATCCCACTAAGTGGGGTCTGCTATATTAATCCTAGAACACCATTGCGCTCAGTTTTGTGCTATTTTTTTTTTTGTTAAATCCAAATAGGCCAAGTCTTTTCTTAGAGTCTATTTCCAAGTCTTCATAGGTCTTCCCCTACCTCTTTGGCCTTGAGCTTCTGTCTCGTAGCTGTATTTTCTAATCGGAGCGTCTGTAGGTCTTCGTTTCACATGTCCAAACCACCTTAACCGGGATTCTCTTTCATCTTATCTTCAATTTCGGCTATTCCTAATTTACCTCGGATATCCTCATTCCTAATCTTGTCATTTCTCGTTCGCCAGACATCCAACAATGCATTCTTATCGTCTCTACACTCATTTTGTGTATGTGTTGATGCATCATTACCCAACATTCCGTGCTATAAAATATTGATGGCCTTATTGTCGTTCTATGAAACTTTCCCTTAAGCTTTAGTGGCATACGACAATCGCACAACACACCCAATGCATCACTTCATCCATCCAGCTTATATTCTATGATTGAGGTCTCCATCCAATTTTCTGTTCTTTTGCAAGATAGATCCAAGATAGCAAAAGCATTCGCTCTTTGGTACTTCTTGATCTCTAATTTTCACCCCTAACTCATTTGCACCTTTGTTCTCACTGAACTTGCACTCCATATACTTTGTCTTTGAGTTACGTAGGCGAAGTCCTTTAGATTCCAATATTTCCTGCCAAAGGTTAAGCTTCACATTTATTCCCTCTTGAGTTTCATCTATCAAAATTATATCGTCTGCAAAAAGTATACACCAAGGAATATCATCTTGGATATGTCCCGTTAACTTATCCATTACCAATGCGAAAAGGTAAGGACTTAAAGATAAACCTTGATGTAACCCCACGGTTATGGGAAAGCATTCGGTTTGTCCTTCATGAGTTCTTACAACAGTCTTTACTCCATCATACATATCCTTTATAGCTTGGATATATGCTACTCGTACTCATTTCTTCTCTGAAATCCTTCAAAGAATATCTCTTGGGACCTTATCATACGCTTTTTCCAAATCTATAAAGACCATGTGCAGATCCTTTTTCAAATCTTTATATCTTTATATCGATCTTCGTAAGAGATAGATTGCCTCCATAGTTGAGTACCTTGGCATGAACCTGAATTGATTGTCTGAGATTCATGTCTATTGCCTTAGTCTATGCTTAATTACCCTTCTAGAGCTTCATTGTATGACTTATTAACTTAATGCCCTTAAAGTTCGTGCAATTTTGTGTGTCGCCCTTATTCTCGTAGATAAACACCAAAGTGTTTTTTGACCACTTATTTGGCCTCTTCTTCGTTTTCAAAATCTTATTGAAAAGGTTTGTGAGTCGTGATATACCCGTCTCTCCAAGACATTCCACACTTTGATTGGTATATCATCTAGGACCACTGCTTTTCTATGCTTCATCTTTTTCAAAGCTACAATTACTTCTTCCTTCTTGGTACGGCGGTAGAATAAGAAATTTCTACAATCTTCAGAGTTACTCAACTCCCCCAAAGAACTACTCCTTTCATGTCCTTCATTGAAAAGATTATGAAAATACCCTTTCCACCTATCTTTAATTGTGTTCTTTGTAGCTAAGACATTTTCATTCTCATCCTTGATGCACCTTACTTGGTTCAAGTCTCTTGTCTTCCTTTCCCTAGCTCTAGCTAGGTTATAGATATCCAACTCTCTTTCTTTGGTATTTAATAGCTTATACATATCATCAAAACCCGCTAGCTTTGTTTCTCTCATGGCTTTCTTCGCCTCCTTCTTCTCTCTTTTATACATTTCACCATTTTCGTCGGTTCTATCTTTGTATAAGGCTTTACAACATTCCTTCTTAGCCTTAACGTATAAGGCTTTACAACATTCCTTCTTAGCCTTAACTTTTGCTTTACATCCTTCTTCCACCACCAAGATTCCTCTTGATATGAAGCGAAACCCTTGGACTCTCCTAATATCCCTTTTGCCACTTTTTGGATACAACTAGCCATGGAATCCACATTTGGCTAGCGTCCTTCTATGTATCCCATCCACATTACTTTCTTTTTGAAAAAAGACTTATTTTTCTCCTTTTAGATTCCACCATCTAGCCCTTGGAATTCAAGGTCTTGTTCTTTCTTTTATCACTTTTGATATGTATATCCATCACCAACAAGGGATGTTGGTTAGTGAAGCTCTCTCCCGGTATAACTTTGCAATCCTTACAAATTAGACTATCTCCTTCCTCATTAAAAGGAAATCTATTTGTGTTTTTGATGACCCGGTCTTGTAGGTAATCACATGTGTAATACCCTGATTATTTTTTAAATATGTGATTTAGTTATGAAATTCAAATTAATTGATGATTATGAAATCCAAGTGAAGGGAAATGTGAAATCCTGTTCTTGGATTTTATTATTAAATTAAGTATTTTGTGTTGTATTCAAAGTTACAATGTATTTATATTTACGGCGTTTAATTTTATTTTTTTTCGATAAGTTAAAAATATGAGAATGCCCCTAGTTGGCTAAATAGAATTATACGAGGATGTATTTTATCCTTATATGTTTTTCCATATTTCTTGGTATATTCAGATAGAGCTCGATCCCATGAGCATGTAGGCGAAAACTATTCTTCAAATGGAGTTATAACGAAGGAGATATAAATGAACAAAGACAAGGGCATTTTGGTCATTTTGACCCTTCAATTCTAGAAGGCTTTAGCTTTGTTGGAGCAAGGATGAGGGTGATGAAGCCATGTGTGTGGCTGTGATGGGAGGAAAGGATGAAAAATGAGGGAGATGAGGGGTTAGGGCTGCCCAATTAGGAGAGAAAGAAATGAGAGAATGGAGAGATGAGAGAAGTATCGGATCCTCCTTAACCTGAGTGACCTAACCCGGCTCCCTTCGCATTTGTCCAACGTCTTTCATTGATTTTTCTGATGAATTTTGTCAAATCACCACCTGGAACCAACTCTGCGACCCTCCCTTTTCCATTTCCAACCAAACCCAACAAGGTTTGGCTTCCATTTCGTGAAGAACGGAGTCAGTGGCTTCGAGGGTTCCATGGCGGTGATCCGTCATTTCTAAAGGTGTTGCCTTCGTCCACCACCACCTTTAGCCTCCTCTTGAGGCCAGGAACAAAGCCCAAACAAGTTTGGGGGTGGTGGAGCAGCGGATTCGACGAATCAAAGAACACTCACTTTAGGGTTTCTGACGGATCAAGGGAAAATTCAAGTATTTCAGGACTGAATTGGACTTCGGCCCAGGTATGAAACTTCTTCTCTGTGATGTGTTCTACAATTCTGTGAAATTTGGTAATTTTTGGAGTTAGTCAGAAAATTGGGTTTTAGTTCGCCGGAAACTGCCGTTTGCGGTGGCACGTGGCTAGTGTACCAACCTTGCCTTTTTAAGTTAAATTTGATATTTTGAATTCATATTTGATATTCTTTTGATGTTATTCGTTTGTTTGAATCTAGTATTGAACATATCCGCCACTTGAATATTATTAGTAAACGGTTTATATATGACGATGAACTACGAATGGCTTGATGCCGTTTGAGGGTACGTGGGTAGTCTAACAAGAAGGTTAGATGTAGCCATAAAGTAACCGAAATAAATTTATTGTGGTTAATAGAGTAAAGATTAACCATGACTTTATTTTGGCCTACCACTGTGTTTAGCTTCCAAATTTTTGGGGCGTTACAACATGCTCTTCTCTCTTCTTAAAGAAACTGTTGGAGCTAAAAAGAGATCGTATGCCATTGAAAGATCCAATATGCCTTCCCCCTCCTCATTTCTCTTCTCTCATCTAACTAAATGAAGCTTTTAATCTTCTTTTTTTTTTTTCCTGTTTTGCTTCGTAATTTTAATGGTTATACGCAAATTTTCAAGTCAATATTCTCTAAAATGGTCTCTTTTTCTTTCGAATCTCGTCTCGTCTAACTAAACAAACTTAATCTCTCTTTTTTACAATTTAAATTTCATACTTAAAAACACATTTTCAAGTTCAGTTCATTTTTTTATAAAATGGTCCTTATTTTTTCAAATCTTGTCTTGTCTAACTAAACAAATTTAATCTCTTCAACAAATTAGTTATGAACAAACTTTTGTGATAAATATAAGCTCATATGTTGAATATGCTTGTTTATTCCTCCTTACAATAATACAAGGGAATAAGGATATGGGGAGTTTGAATTCCGAGCGTATGATTTAATACTCATAACTATTTGAGTCTTTTGCATATGCAAAATAAAGTTAATGAAAATATCAAATGCACACAATCTTACATGTTCGTTTAACACATTATTTTAAAATGAAATGTTGAAATCTTCAACATTTCATTTTCCTCTATATTTTTCTCGTTTGTTATATATATATAACACATTATTGACACAACTCATATGTCTTCTCTCCGGATCCTCACATCGTGTCCATTCATTGTAAATCGTGCGGTCATAAATCATTTTAAATTTTTCTATTTAAAATTGAACACAAACAGTACTTGACAAAAACTGACTGCACAATGTACAATGAACAGACACGAGGGGATCCTCATTGCTATATTGCAAACCTGCTTCTTATTATTATTATTATTATTATTATTTTTTGAACAAATGATATTTCTACACTAAGGGGGTGGGGAAAGTGGGCTATGCCTCATAATAGGCTAACAATAATATGGTTCAAATTCGTATTTGAAGATAATCGAACCTAAGACCTCTCACTTACAAGCGAAAATGAATACCACTAGACCGTAGTACTAAGTGGCTACCGGCTTATTAATTATGAATTAACATATTTGACAATATCATATGAAGAGAGATTGCATGCTTCCGAGACCATAATTGAGTGCTTATAACCGCTTGAGCTTACAAGCCCCTTTCATATGATAGACTAATAAAGTGTGTTGGCGAGAAAAACTTAACTCGTGATGTGTCAAATGAAAATGGCTATTGGAAGATTTGGGCTTAAGCCCTAATTTCATCCAAAGGAAGGCCCATTGGAAGAAATAGCCACCACAATATGGTGGACACACAGTCAATTGTTTATGTATATAGAGAAGTAATAAACTCATAAACACACTTTTTTTAGCCTCTTATGCAATTATGTTTAATTTTGACTATTAATTTCGTTTGATTTATTTAATGTAATGGTTAGAAATAAAAAAAAGGTATATGAGAAACTAAAAGATGTGTTTGAAAATCACTTCCCATTCGTAAATACATGCATGCACTAATTTTTTCTTAGTGTATTAGTTTATGAATTTGGCTACAATACTTACATACAGTTAATACAATCATTATCTTGATCGTCAAATGATGATTATATTTAGTACTTATATTTACATGAATCATATATAACCTTTAGCTAAAAATTGTACTAAATAAATGTAAGTATTGTACTTAATTTTATTAATTCATATCTTTTTTCTGTCATAACTTCCATTCAGTTAGGAATCAAAGTCGTCATTGAGACCTTCTTCTACACATTACTTCTCACTTACCAATCGAATCTCAGAGGGGTCAGAGACTTAGGGGCCAGAAGTAGGTTTAATGTTCCAGTATTTTAATATATAAATAAAATAATGCTACAAGCAACGCAAAATATTTATTAAGTGCTGCCTTACTCAGTTCGTTTCAGATTCAAATTCTTTTTCTTTCATTAGTGTAGATTCAAATAATAATGTCATTTGTATTAAAAAAAATATATTGTATAGATTAAGCGTGCATTAATCGTTAAATGCGTGCATGCCTTTCTATTACTTTCGATGACATTCAAACTAACTAAAAACAATTCAAAATCAAAATCAAATGATGTCATTGATGCCAAATACTTTGAGAGATTTTTTTTAACAAACGATAGTCTCTCTATTAAAGGAGTGAGGAAGTGGACTAAACCTCGTAATAGTTAGTAATAATGTAGTTCAAATTTGCCTTTAGCGAGAATCGAACTTAAACCTTCTCACTTACAAGTGAAGAACAGTACCACTAGATCGTAGTACTAAGTGGCTACTTTAGAAAGATATTGATTATGCATGTGCGTACGTGATTACTATTTATGTCGTTGATTTATTTCGTTTGTATATATGTATAAATAGTTGACATTATTATGGAAAACAAAGTTTAGTAGGGCATGTCATGAGACTCTTGACCTACCATATATTCTCCTAACAAATAATGTGTATGCATGGATCCAAAAAATGGTGACAGAGCAGCATGGTCCATTGGAACAGCACTTAGCTCCCTTTGCTAGACCCTATAAAACGTCGGTGGAATAAGCTGGAAAGTGGAAACCCTACTTTAGTTTAATTTATTAATTAGGAGCTGCTTAATTGTTGCTAATGCCAGATTGGTTTACTTTTTTGTATTATATGAAAAGATTTGCTTAAATGGAAGCTTTAGGTTTTGGAAGACTAGCTCCTAACGCCAAAATGTCGGTTGGAATAACTTTTGATTTAGTGATGGATCAAGATTTTTTTCTTGTTTTGACCAAGTGACGGGTCAAGATTAAAAGTTCAACATGAGGATGAGGTACAACATGAGAAAAACATAAAAAAAAAGAAAGGGAAATAACATTATCATTTCTAACAAATCATAAGTTACAACTTTTTACTTACATAAAAATTAGATAATTTACGTAATGGAACACATGGCACATTTTAATAGACGATTCATGAATCAAGATATACTCCCGTGTCATGTGGCAGTGCTCTTCCTACTTGAGTTTTTCTTGTCACAATGAGGTTGGAAAGCTTAGGTTAAACTCGAATTTCGATTATATGTGTAAGGATATATGCTCTATAATTGAAGCTAAGTAGGAAAATGATTTTCTCGATTTGAATTTCATTTCATTGATGGTTGTGTCGTGTTATCATCTTAATTTCATCCACAAAAGTTTTCCGTGTTGGCAAGCAAAAAAGTCGTAGGAGAGTTTCATATATTAAGGAAACACATCAACATTTGAACCACGTAAATGTTTTTTTTTTTTTTAGTTACCGAAAAAACACAATTAACATTTGAAAAGAGAAATACTTAAAAGACTAAAACACCAACTAACTAGCAGAATTAGTTGGTATAAGAGTGTGATTGATATATATATGATTTGACTAATGAAAGTTTTAAGCTGACCGATCGCATAATGTCATCAAGCTAAGGCGGTAAAACGGTTGTCTTTTAATGCTATTACATGTTTTAAAAAGAAAATAGTTTTCACACATTTTTTTTTTCTTCTTCTTAGAGCTTGTTTGGATGTACTTTTAAAATGTCTAAAAGCGCTTTTAATGAAAATATTTTTAAAACCAATTCTCGGTAGAAATGCATGTAAATCATGAAAAAGCACTTAAAGTGCTTTCTGGAGAAATCACATAACTAGTGTTTCTTGCAAAAAACACTTCAAGTGCTTTTGGAATCCAAAAAGATTTTTTCTAAAAACGTTTTCAATTATTTTAAAAACACATCCAAACAAGCTCTTATACACCTGTAATTATTTATGGCCATTGTGTGTGGCTTCTTAATTAATTTATACAGTGAATATGGATATATATAAAAAGAGACGTGAGGTGCTAAAATAAGTGTGAAAATCAACTCCCTTCCTTAAAAGTTGAAACTAATCATATAAAGTCAAGGCATTATAACTGACATTTGACAATGATTTTCATTTGTAAAAATAGAAAATATGGTTCCTACCTAGAGGCAGATCCAGGATTTGAACTTTGGGAAATCACAGTGTTAAATACAAGTTTTTTTAGATAGGAACAGAGCGCGAAGTGTTGAAAAGAAAGTAGTTTATTCACTTGATGGGCTCGTTATGCACATGTCAACAGATATTGCATATGCCAAAGCAATCTGATGAGTGATATAGAGAGAACTTGTTGAGTACTGTCAACGCAACACATTGAGATATGCTTAGCATGCATTACATTAAACATTTAGTAGGTACAAAAGGAACACATACTAGATCTTCGGAGGGTCCTCAAAGACATTCACATGTATATTTTCCAGACTTGGATGATCCTTGGACCACCTTAGTCCCTACTTCCATCCGCCCTTGGTTCCTACGGTGGCTTTTGACTAAAATGTGCAAAACATAACAAAGCAAAACAGAATTTTCTCATCACATAATCTATGATTTTCATCTTCTTATTTTTGGTGAAATTTGTCATCTCTCAACTTAAAACATACATGTACATAACGATATTGACTATAGCAGATGAGCACCTCCTCATTCACTTAACTTCAAAATTTTCTTCTTCAAATCCGATTGGTATTATTCTTTAACGAATGTCATGCCATTGGCCACACTCCACCAACCAAGCCACTTTCAATTAACTAGTTATGGAACTCATTTTTTAAAGGCTTAATCTAAAAAATAGACCACTAGTTTATGAAAACTCAAACACCCCATCTACATTTTATTCATATTCATTACCAAGCTACATTAGGGTTAGAACTGATCCCCAATTATAAAATCTTCAAATAAATATGCCAATTTTTTGTCCAAAAGTTTGATGCGACAATTTTATCCTTCGTGACTCCATTTTTATTTATTTTTTTGCTTAAGCGCTACTACGGAGTGGCTCAGTAATTGAAGGTGAATTTCAGGCTTATATTTCATATTGCATGTCTTGAGTTCAATTTTTGACGTTAATGATTCGCACGATGATGGAGAAGCTGAAAGGCTTCTATAAATCTTCCTAACTTCTGAAATAATAGAATATCGTGTCAAAGCCACCAGTTAGTTCTCTTTTTAAAAAATTGAATATAAATAAATGGTACGGCCGCAGCCGTCTACAGCCCTCTTCTCCTCCTGTTTTTCGTTAATCCGCAAAAAGCTGGTCCAAGTCCGTCTGCTCTCTTTTGTCGCATTTCTGGGATTTCCCACGAAAACTGCCGATTTCTACTCTCACATTTCCCAGAACCCACAGTTTTTCTGAATTTCATTTTTTTTTTTTTTTTATTTCCTTTTTAAGTTCTAAAAAAACCCATTTGTTTTATGGAAGTTTTTTTTATTTTTATTTTTTTTTTTTAATATTAGCACTCGTTTGTGTTAATATTTAATTTATTTGAATTTCTGGGTGTTGAATTTAGTTACAGTAGGTAAGGCTGCTGATGCTTACTTGGCAGCATTGGCTTTTAAACAACATGTTTGGATTGAGCAAGGAGTCGGTACAAGATTTAGGTACATGTTTCTTTTTTTCTTGGTTCTTTTTATGTTTTTGTCGGTTGACGTTTATCTTCTTCTTGATTCTGCTTTATCTCTCCTTTTTTTATACGTCATACAATGCTTTTTCTCAAGTTTTCAAATTCTTGGAATTTTATGAATCTGCAATCTTTTGATGGGAAATTTGGGTTTTTCTAATTTTATGTAGCGTTTTTGTTGCAGAGGTTGAAATGTTAAATTCAAGAAGTGCGAAGGTTGCAAAACAGAAAAGATTTGTAGAAATGGTGAGATTGTGAGAGAGAGAGAGAGAGAGAGAGAGGCATAAACATAAAGAGAATGATACTTGAGGAGGTATTGAGAGGTTTGAGAAAGAAGAAGAATAAGAAGAATGTTGTGTTGGTTGGGATTCCAATTGATAGCCAGAGCACAGAGCTGCTCGGATGGGCTCTCGTTAAAGTTGCCGAGCCCGGAGAATGCGTGATTGCAGTTCAAGTCTGTCGAAGTTCTGGTAAATGTCTGCAGATTTAGTTTAATTTTCATCTATTTTTCAATAATGTTATGTTTAATTTGGTTGATATTAGCTATTCAGATCAAGCCTGACAGCATAACATGCGAGACTGTTGGTGACATTACGTTTATTATGTACAGATTATGTCTCGAAAACCAAGAAGATGTTGGATGGCTACGTAGAGGCTTATGAGGGGCTACGTGACATGAAAAAGGTTTATACTTCTTAATCTTCACTACTCTAGCACTGGTTCAATTGTTCCAAAACTTGAGACTGGTCATGGATTTTTATGCTTTAAATTTCAGGTAGAGCTCATCGGTCAGGTCTTGACAGGAAGGTCAATCCGAAAAGCTCTAGTTAGAGAGGCGAAAAACCATTCTACAGTGGCCATAGTTGTGAGCACAAGTAAGCCAAAAACTCTAGGGTAAGGGACAAAGATTGATCTCAGAAAGAAACTTGCATTAGTTTTCAAGATTTTTGTCGCATTACTCTAAGAAGAGTTCTTTTGCAGCGGTTGGGATTCTACGGCGAAATTCTGTGCTAAGAAATTGCCACCGACCACTGATGTTGTGGCCATCCACAATGGGAAAGTTGTGTTCCGACGGTGTACTAGCAATCAACTACCAGGTTGGTGTTTTGAGTCAAAATACTAAATTCTGCAGACTTAGGCGTAGCCAAGTTGGTTAGAACTGCCTGCTCCACCCTCTGCACTCAAATTCGAATCCCCTCCCTACAGTTTACATTTTTATTAGAATATCACTTGAATCAGAAAGTAAAAATGAATACTACATTCTGTTTTTCAGCTTTTGTAGGTCTCACCGAAGATCCAAGACCAAGTCTTTGCTTTGAGAGTCTCACTCCCAAAGGATACTCATCTGAATTTAGTGACTTCGAGGCGCATAGAGAAACCCCGAAATCACCTTTTGATATGGCAAAGAGCTCCTTAGATGGTTCGAAGCACGGCAGTGAAGACACAAAGAATGAACAAAAGAGAGTGCCTTGGAGATCAGTTTCACTTGGTGCAGCAGGACATGTGGATAAGAACCTTGGTTGGCCCCTACTTCAAAGAGTGAATTCTGCAGATCCTCAATTATCCACCACAAGGGACATGTCTGTGGTGCAATGGGTGATGAGCTTGCCAGACCGCTCTCCACGGCAGTCTCCTCAGTGTACAACTATCAAAGAAAATCCATTTGAACGAAGTATTGGTGACATTGTTCATGAGAGTATGGAGGGTAGTTTTCCTGCTTTTGATAAACTTCCTGAAGGGTTCAAGCGTCTGCTCGAAACAAACTCATCTGGTTGCAGATGGTTCAATCATGAGCTTCTGAAGGCTTCAACTTCTCAATTTGCCTCAGGTTTGAAATAATTTTTCCTTCCCTTCTCTTTATTTGAATTCTTTTAAATACTTCTCTATCGATTAAGTTCTTTGTATTTTAACAGAAAATCTTATCGGAAAAGGAGGATGCAACCTAGTGTACAAGGGAACTCTTCCAGATGGCAAGCCAGTGGCAGTAAAGCTTATGAAGTCATCAAAAGAAGCATGGAAGGATTTGTTCATGAAGCCGATATTATATCTTCCTTGAAGCACAAACACATTTTGCCTATGCTCGGGTTTTGTATCAAAGACAATGTTCTCATTTCTGTTTATGATTTCTTACCTAAAGGAAGCTTAGAGGGAAACTTACATGGTAAATGTTCAAGTACTTTTATCCTATGTTTTACGTTCTTGGTAATAAGTTTCAGAACCCATGTTGATTTCAAGATGATAATTGATGCAGGCAAGAACAAAGATAAATCTGTATTGTCATGGGAGGTGAGATTTAATGCTGCTATTGGGATTGCTGAAGCCCTCAATTATCTACATGGAAAATGTCCTCAACCAGTTATTCATAGAGATGTCAAGTCCTCCAACATTCTTCTCACCAAAGATCTTGAACCACAGGTACCGCTTAATCGAAGTAATATAAATGGTGTTTAAAATATGACCACAACCGTAAGTGTCTCTGAAACTGACTAAATGCTTGCATCTACATGACAGTTATCGGATTTTGGCCTTGCAATATGGGGACCAACAGCTAGATCTTTTAAGACTGAATGCGATGTGGTAGGAACATTTGGTTATCTTGCTCCTGAATATTTCATGTATGGAAAAATCAGTGACAAGATTGATGTTTATGCATTTGGAGTGGTCCTTCTTGAATTATTATCAGGACGAAAACCAATTGGCTCTGAGACTCCCAAAGAACAAGAAAGCTTGGTCATGTGGGTAAGAGATTCACCTTTATAATTTGATTTTTCATTCTTCATTTTCACCTAATTGATCTGTTTCGGATAAGTGACATTGAATTCCATCTCAGGCAAAGCCGAAAATAGAGAGTGGGGATGTCAAAGACTTACTGGATCCGAATTTGGATGCAAAGTTCAATGAGGTTCAGGTGCTAAGAATGGTTCGGGCAGCAAAACTTTGCATCACACGCTCAGCTCGCCTTCGTCCAAAAATGAGTGAGGTGTAAAAATTTCTTGTGCTTACTAACTTGTAGGAAATAAGTTTCTGTTTAGTTTTAATGTGGAAAGGATTCCAAGTTTCATCATGTTTTTTCTTTCCCCTCAGATACTAAAGCTTCTAAAAGGGGAATCGGATGTCGAAAATCAAGTGAACTCTCAATTTTTGGACATAGAGGAGTCAAAAAACCAGGATGATAATGACGATGAAGTTTATCCAAACTCGAGCACAGAGTTGCATTTAGGTCTTGCACTGCTCGATGTGGATGATGATACAACAACATCGTCAAGTAGTGTGGAGCGAAGCAACAACCTTTCATGGGAAGAATATTTGAAGGGAAGATGGAGCAGATCATCAAGCTTTGATTAGCATCTTTTTCTACTCTCTTATTTTGTAAGTTTGCCACATACTTGTGTAGCAAGGAAATTAGCATCTATACACAATATAGGAAACCCAAAAAAAAAAGTGTGCACCCAATGGTTGGGGTGGATTGTAAATAAACTTGTACAATTAAATCGTTGAAGTGATAGTGTGAAGGGATGAAAATTTGTAGCTTGTTTAAATTAGCTTGTCAAAAACTCAATTTTCAACATGATCACAGAATATGAGGCTGACATTTTGTAGCTTTGTGGTATAATGAAATTTGTTGTTCAAAGCAGTCAACCGATGAGGCTTAGATGCAAAAGTTATATGTAGACCTTTGGTTACTACTAGTTTTATATTTATGTGATGCTCGTGCGGTTTATGTTTTCCCGCACACACCAATGCATAAAAATTAAGTATAAATGATGTGGAACAGCAGATGACTGAAAGGATCGAAGAACAGTTGAAAAAGTGTAAAATTGGCATCAAAAGCCAAGCATTGCGAATTTAGGTCATGACCGGCCTTTTGAATTGAACAGTGTCACAAACAAGATGCAAAGCTTTGCCCTTGCATATGAGCAATTTGGATTTTGGTGAAATTTTTTGTTTTACTAGCCCAAAACGACATTTTAAGTTTTGAGGATATTTTGTTACTTTCACATTTTTCTTTTCTATTAGAATTCCTAGCGAACAGTATCTTATTATATTTCAATCAATAAATTTGAGGTTTTCTCAAATACCTGATGAAATCTAAATTGCTTGTGGATTCTAATTTATGGTAATTCTTAGGTATTCGTATTTAACTTATCTATGTTGTGTTAATATTGATGAATTTGTTCTTAAGAGGTTCACATAATGTAGAAGAATAGAAAGAGAGAAGAGAGAGAAAGTGAAACTGTATATTGATTTCTTGATGATCAAGCTATCATTACAATGGTTGTTATATATTTCTCCCTTACTTAGCTGATATTTAGCTAAACAACTATCTCTCCTCCTTATCTCAACTAACTTGTAACAACCTATAACAGCTCACTCATCAATCTACTGACAAGTGTCATTTAGTTTGACCTTTGATCTTCTCTTCACTTGGATCCTTACATCCCCCTCAATCATATGCTCAAGTGAACTGAGCATAATATTGCCATAGTGTTGTTGAAACAAGGGTGCTGCCAAGCCTTTTGTAAGTATATCTGCAAATTGCTCAGCAGAAGAAACATGTTGTATATGAAGATCTCCTTGAGTGACCATTTCTCTCACAAAGTGATAGTCTATCTAATTGTGTTTTGACTTGGCATGAAACACTGGATTTGTTGAAAGAGCTATAGCTGGGATATTATCACAATATAGGACTGGAGGTAGATGAATATCAACATGTAAATCACAAAATAACTGCCTAATCCAAGTTAGTTCTGCAGCTGTGATTGCTAAAGCCCTGTACACAGCTTCTGTGGAAGACCTTGAAACTGTGTGATGCTTATTTGATGCCCAAGAAATTCGATTTAAACCAAGATAGATAACAAAGCATAAAGTGGATCGTCTGTCATTTGGGTCACCAGCCTAATTTGCATCACTGTAGGATCGAAGATGTATTGGTCATAGTCTAAATTGAATACCAAGATTTGAAGTGCCTTTGAGATATCTAATGATCCTTTTAACTGCAATAACATGTGATTCCAGAGAATTGTGCATGCATTGATATGCTTGATTCACTGAGAATGATATATTTGGTCTTGTAAATGTGAGATATTGAATAGCTCCAACAATCATTCTGTATTGATCAAGACTATGATATGGCTTTCCATCATTCCTAAACCCTAAACCCTAAAGGCTTATAATCTTGTAAATCAACAATTTCAACCAATTCATTGATGTACTTTGTTTGTGACACAAATAACCCTTTTTGTGTGTAACTAATCTGCAACCCCAAGAAATAATGTAGTTTCCCCTGATCTTTCAAATCAAATTCAGCTCTGAGATCTGTAATTACATTTGAAATTAACTCAGAACTGCTACCAGTAAGTATCACATCATCAACATATAGTAGCACAATCACAATGCCTTTAGATGAATGCTGAACAAACAGATAAGGATCAACTTGTGAAGCTTTGAACACCAAACTTGGTAAAAAAAACTTGTGAACCTGTCATTCCAGGCTCTAGGAACCTTTTTAAGGCCATATAAAAACTTGTGTAACTTGCAAACAGTTAGAAGGATGTGTTGAACTTTGAAATCCTAAGGGTTGTTCCATATACATCTCTCTTGAAGAACTTCATGCAAAAATGCATTTTTCACATCCATTTATCTAAGAGTTCAGTTGAACTATGCAGCTAATGCAAGAATTAACCTGATAGTTGTAGGCTTTACCACAGGGCTAAAAGTCTCTCCATAATCAATTCATTCTTCCTGACTATACCCATTTGTCATCAATCTTACTTTGTACCTTGCAACAGATCCATTTGCATCTTTCTTAATCTTGTATACCCATTTACAACCAACTAGGTTCTTGTTAGGTGATAATGAAACCAAAGACCAAGTCTTCTGTGTATGTAAGACATTAATTTCTTCTATCATGGCATCTTGCCACTCTGAAATTTTTGAAGTTACTTTGAAGGTTTTTGGTTCTGTGACAGATGACTGAGAATAGCTCATAGAAGCTAAGAAAGCTTCTTTTTTTTTTTTTTTTTTTTTTCCTTCTGAAGATTCCATTTTTAGACCTTGTTTGCATAGGATGAACATTCAAACGTATTGGCAATACAACATGTAATTGCTCATGTTGAAAGCTAGGATCCACATAGATGAGATACTATATAGAAGAGCGAGGATGTTGTACTATACTGGACCTCTGTGAAGATGAGTGAATAAACTCTGAGGCACTATGTGCAAGTGTATTCAAGGAATCTGAAGCTCTAGATGCTGCTAAAGAATCTGAAGCACTAGATGAATGCGAGGTCAAGAACTCTGTGGTTTGAGATGTTGATGAATGATTATGAGATGCAGGTGATACTACCTGATTATTTAATGAAACTGATGTTGTTAGAGGGCTCTGAGAATGCTCATGTATACTTGTAGATGATGGATGTGTTAAGTTGGGTTATTGTGCAGCCCTAGAATATGGAAAAGTTGTTTCATCAAACAAAACATGCCTATATATATATATATATATATATATTTGAGTTGTAATATCTAGACAAAGAAAACCTTTATAACAACCTGCATAACCAAGAAAAACACAGGTTTTTGTCTTTAGTTATAGTTTAGAGCTGTTGTATGGTTTAAGTAGTGGAAAGCATGCACAACAAAAAAATTTCAAATGATTAATGTCTTGAACCTGTTTAAACAGCAATTGGTAAGGGCATTTCATTTGTAAAGTAGTACATGGCATTCTATTGATCAAATATGTAGTTGCATCACAAGCATGGAACCAGAATTTAGCAGGTAAACTTGCAGTTTGAAGTAATGTGATTGCAGTTTCTACAACATGTCTATGTTTCCCTTTTGCCAACCCATTTTGCTCTGGGGTGTGGGGACAAGATCTATGGTGTAACATGCCTTTTTGTAACAAGAAATGCTGAAACTTGGATCCTACATATTCACCTCCACCATCACTTTGTAAAATTTTTGGTTGTGCAGAACATTGAGTGCTAAAATAGGCATAAAAGTGCACAAATGTTGCAAAAACTTCTGATTTATTATGCAAAGGGAAAACCCATGTATATGAAGTACATTCATCTATAAAGGTTACATAATACCTAAATCTTTCATGAGATAACAAGGGGCAGGCCCCTATACATCACTAGGCAAAACCTTTAGAGGTTGTACAGACTTGGTTACATGAAAATTAAACTACAGGTTAGTAAACTTTCCTTCCAGACAAGGTGTACATATTGATTGACTTGTATCAAGTGATGCAAGGATATTGTTTTGATGTAGAATGACATAAGGGATGACATTTGATGTATGTCCTAGTCTTTTATGCCATAAGCTTATATTAACAGGTTTTGCTAGACAACATGTGTGCTTATGAGATAATGCAGATGACATCTTCTTTGGTGTGTTGAAAGGAATAGGATAATAGCCCTATCTACACAACCCTTTGATTATGATTGTCCCTGTGGATTTATCCTGAACCTAGAACAAAATATCATTACAAATGAATCGACATCTATTGTCTTTACACAATTGATAGATGGATAACAAGTGTTGTGAGATCTTTGGAACATGTAGAACATTCTTCATTGCAAGTGTGTTACTAAAAACAGATAATGTTGATTTACCAATAAGAGAAATATGCAAACATGCACCACTTGTCGTGGTTATAGTATCATTCCCTTGGTATGAAGTAGCTAGATCCAAATTAGCTAACTCAGAGGTTATGTGAGAAGTAGCTCCAGTGTCTGTAATCCAGAATAGTTGCTCAGGTGCAGAATGTTGATGCTAAGCATGCATGGCAGTGAGTGTTGGTGTAAGTGGCTTTCCTTGATATGCAAAGTTGCCTCGGTGATAGCATTGTAGAGCTGAATGTCCAAATTTCTAGAAAATTTGACATTGAATTGGTATGTTGGCACTAGAATGTGAAGAATTATGCCTTTGAAAACAATCAGCAACAACATGACCGTTCTTGTTGCAGATTTGGCAAATAGGGATCTTAGAATGATGTTCTGCATAGTTTGATTGATAGGGTTTTGGGGCATCAAGAATACCAGGGCTTCCATTTGGTGGAGGATTGTAAGATCTTGGACCATAATTATACGGTTTGGCCTCTTCCTTTTCCTCGAAAATTGTTCCCTTTGTATCCTCAATAGTTGTAGAACCCTTGATATGAATTGTTGTAGTTGTTAAATGAATCATTCCCAAGTTGTATCATGTGGTATTTGATCCACCAGCGTGATTGTTAAACCTTTGACTGGATGATCCAGAACTAGACCCTATTTCAGTAGACTGTGATGTTTCTTGATCAAGTACCAATGCTTTTCCCTTGTTTGACTGAGTGCCAGCAACCATTGCAGTTCCAAATGGTAAAATAGAAGAAGATTCAAAGGACTGACCAATGATAGCTTATTCTACAAGTAATTGGGATCTGAAATCCTTGAGAGATATACCATTTTCCCTTCCTCTTATAACACATCTGAAAGTGTTAAATTCTGCAGGAAGCCCCTTTAGCGCAAAAATTATCACATAATCATCTTCAAACATTACTCATGCAGCTACAAGATGATCTCTTGCATCCTTGATCTTCTGGAGATAATCAGATACAGATTCAAACCTATTTTTAATCAGACACAAAGAATCTTTCAG